CCCCCCCCCAGACTGGGTACCTTCTATCCTTCAACTTCAAAGTTTCCTGGATCCTTCTCCATCTTCTCCACTGTACAGGTAAGCCCATCTATTTTCCCGTTAGCTCTCCCTGTACCTTCCACTTCTTTGCTTCAGCTTCTCCCTTTCCCTGGACTTTCTTCTCATTTTTCAGTACAGTGTGCACATACTTGCTCACTGAAGCATTTCATATCTGCTCTAAAGTCCTTGTAAGAGATTCCTAACATGAGTCATCCTGTTGTTAGCATATATTAGTTATCTCTTTCACTTTGAGTTTGAGATTTTTTTGGCTCCTGGTATGAATTTTTTATTAGAATCTTGATATTAGGGGCAGTATATTTTAAGACTGGATTGTAGTTCAGTCTTGTGTTCATACTGTTAAACTCTGCTCTGGTATGTACAAGTTAGTGCCACCTTCTTACTGCCTGTTGGAGTGGATGCTGGTGACACCACCACCATCAGCTGACATCAAGGTGGGGGACTTCTGGGTATTGCTGGACAGGGTGGGATTGAAGCTTCATTAAAAGGCTTGCTGCCATTTGTCCCTATCCAGGAGGAGGAGGAGTGTCTCCTGCTGCTAGGCATGCCAGGTGAGGACTGAGGCCCACTGGGCTCCACTGATGGGTGGGACTGGAATAAGGACAGGGATTCATTACCAGCTGGGGGGATCCATGTCCCAGCTCCCCTGGCCTTCCTAGACCTGCTGGAGGTAGCAGACTGGGGTACAGGTGGAAGTCTGAGATCTCTATTTGGCCTTTGCTGGTGAGGGCTTGGGCTGGAGCTGCAGATGTTTCTGTATAGGTTGCTGGCGTGGGGTGGTTATTGTCTTAAAATTCTGTCTTGCTAGGCTTCCCTTTGCCCAGTCCTTTGGCTCAAGAGAGCAAGCCTTCCCTGGGCCTTTTCTATTTTATCAGTCAGGGTCTCTGTGTTACTTGCTTCTCCAGCATCAAGTCTGGGACACATGAGGCGCCCACCTCACAGTATGACCATCATGGGGTTTCCCTTGAGTTCTGAGGTTACCGGCTGGTCTCTCTTCTCCTTGCCACCTTCCAGAACCTCTTTTTTTAAAACCAGGGATTGAACCCTGGGCCTCTGCTCTAAGCTGCATCTTTTCCCTCAGTATTTTGAGGCAGGGTCTCCCTAAATTGCTAAGTTCCCTGGGCTGGACTCGAAACTATAATCCTCCTCCTGCCTCAGCTTCTCAGAGCTTATAGGTGTGCACTGCCATGCCTAGCTACCTTCCAGGATCTAACGCTGGCTTCATACATAATATCTAGAGCTTTTAGGTGCGCTTAGTAAGAAGAAAGGGGAAACCACCTTGGCCATCTTCTTTCCACCAACTGAAGCTCAAGCTCTTCACTTATCTATTAAAATTATATTGGTGTTTCCTCTGAAATGGCACTAGAGACGATTTTGTTTTTTCAGAGTGTCCCACAGACTGCACACACAGAGGTCTATGTCGCGGCTTCTTCCTGCAGTTGTAATGGGCTGTCTCCCCACACAGGAGGTGGTCTTTCACCATAGAGGCCAGGAATTCACAGTCGGAGGGGCTCCAAATGCCCTCCCACCAATTATTCTCAAGCACACTATGTCCTGATTTCTAAATTTCTGGGAACAGACTAGAAGTCTAAGAATGGAATTATTTCTAACTTTTAATTCAATAGAGATACATTAAGGCTCTGCGAACCAAAGTATTGCAAATAACCATAAAATGTTTCCATGATGACATCCGGTTCTTATCCCCCATGAGGGCAAGAACACAGTGTTGACATTCTTGAGTTGTTGGAGGGAAGTTTAGTTTGTACAGATATTTCGAAAAACAATTTCCCATGTGTTCCAAATCTTTAAAAATATTCTGACCCACCATCTTTATTCCTGCAAATTGATGTAAAGAAGACAGCCTTTCAGTAAGAAAAGAAGGAGGCAAAAACATTTGATACAACATTATTTATAATAATAAGGAATTAGAAATAACCCAAGTATCCAGCTAAGAGGAATAGGGTAAATTTAAATTATGGTCCCTTTATTAGAGGGAATACCATGAGGCTATCAAAGGGGATCTTTCTAAGGAGTTCAGAGTCATACAGAAAATTCTCGATATAGTAGGTGAAAAGTATAAGCAAAACTCTTACATATGGTGGGACTGCACCACACTCCATTAGAAATAGCACCAATGTCTACTCAGATTAGAAGGGTGGAAAAAAGAAGCTAAAACTGTTAAGTGGGATTGCGTAGGTGTTGTTAGGAATATAGGTACATTTTTTACTTTTTCCCCTCCATTTATAGTTTTTCTAAGCTTTCTTTTTTTGAGCATGTGTTATTTTTATGGCAACCAGTATAAAAGCGCGCAGGAGACTGAATCCACAGATGGCGCTGGGTGTGTGCATTTCAGCAGTCCCACTCTTGTCCCTCAAAGGCATGACGTGGAATGGTAATGAGAGCCCCGCTTCCGTGATAACACTGCCGAGGTGTGGGCCCGAGAGGCACTCACAAGTCTGACTGCAGAAGGAGGTTAGGAAGCGCAGCAAAACCTCCCCACTGATCCTGCTGCTGATCTGAGCAGTGAGCCCCATCCCCCCAGGACCTGCGCTGACCCCCGGGCCAGCACCCACGCTACCTTTTCCAGCTGGGATGTGCTGTCCTCACAGGCCTCCCTGAGCAGGTCACGTGCCCTGCCAAGGTCTCCCTGTCTGTATGCGGTGTGAATGCCCTCCGTCCCAGGAGGCCGCGGCGCTGTTGAGTCCCCTCCTGGCGTAGATGGCTTGCTGCCCATGTCCCTGGCACCTGTGTGGGAGGAAGCACACACACAGAGTCACTGTCACAGCCAGTGTGGTTTGGGAGTCATCGGAAATGACAGTGATGCAGTGTTGATGACAATTCTGGGGGCTGCAGGGACAAGAAAGCATGGCCTTGAAATGCTGCCCTCACCCAGTGCCTTGGGGACCTGCAGCCTTGTGGGAACAGACTTCCCGGGCTGGAGCGGAAGCCAGGAAGTCCGCAAAGGCAGCAGGCAGATGCGCGCAACTCGGGGCTCTGCAGCGAAAACGCTGCCATCTGGAGCCCAGCCAGCGCATGAGGGCAGCTGGCTGGTGGGAGGCTGCTGGCTTTCCTCAGAGTAAGGTGGAGGAGCTGGGGCTTCAGGGGACAGCAGGTGGCCCCTGACAAACATCCTCGTAGCTGGGAGGGGGAGGCAGAGTAATCCTGAGGGAACGGAAATCCTCTTTCCCTATGTAGAAATCCTCAAAAGGGCACAGGATTTTGTTTCTGCAGCCCTCATTTTGCACCTGCCTTCCAAAACATGCCATACTACAATGTCAGGCAACTCCTTGACACTCTGGGCCCTAAGCATGTGTGGACCACAGTTGTGACCGGCCTATGCTGTCCCCAAGTATCTCCCGGCTCTGCCCTTCAGGGCATCTGAGCTGTGGCTTGGCTGCAGATGCATCCCTGTTCTCTAATGGTGTACATTTGACTGTCCTGGGTGGAAAAGATGTGGGGCTTCTGTGGGCCAACTGAGCATGTGGGGCCTCTGGAGAGGAGAAGCAAGTCTTATAGAAGGTTGCGGCACTGCCAGCCATCTGTAAATGTACTTACTGAGCAGCCAGGACATGGGTGATCCCTGCACCGGGCACTGAAGACACAGACATAAAGGAGCTCTGTCCCTATCTAACGTGCTCCAGAACAGGTTAATGATTAGGAATCTGTGGGCCCGAAAGGCTAACCAAGAAGCTTTCGAAGTTCCCTGAACATCTTGAAGTTGTGCGCAAAAGTTGTAACTCGTGTGTGTGTGTGTGTGTGTGTGTGTGTGTGTGAGATTTTCTTTCTCCGGGGAGAAGATTCAAGGGCTTCCCAGATGTCCATAAGGGTTAGTGAACCAGAGCGACAAGCTTTATTGCTGTAGGTACTACAGAAAAGCCTATCACGAGTGAGGAGTTAAATTCTGATTGCATTGAGTGCTCGTAGAAATAGGAAGAGAATGCTATCATTCCTGGCTGGGTTCACTCAACCAATAAGAGGCAAACTGACTGTGCTCTCAACTCTCAGAGCGGGCAGGACCTGCTCTTCTCACAGCTACCTCTGTGAAGGAAAAGGCTTGCGGTTATTTTGTTTTATTTTTCTGTATTTGGTACAGAGTCTACAGGGTCTCACTATGTAGTTCAGACTTTTAGTGATCCTCCTGTTTTCAGCCTGCCAAGCACTGGGATTATAGGTACATGCCACCGCCAGTCTCAGTCACCATCTCAGTGTGTCCCAGGGGCAGGGCTGGAATGGCGTGCTGGGGATTGAACCCCAGCCGCTGTGCTTTGCCTTAGCAGGTGCTTTAGTCTGCTGAGCTATCTGGCCAGCCCGCTTTTAATTATTTTTGAAGGGTAAGTGCTGAGTAAGGTTGGCTTCCAAACATACACATTGCAAAAATAAACCACATATAGCAGCTAACATGGAAACATTAATTTATTTACAGTAGTATAAAATTATATTCTGAAAAATTTAAGAAAACTCTGTGAAACTAAAAACTCTGTAAAACACTAAAACTTTGTAAAACTCTCTAAGAAAAGCTTAAGCAGGACATATATAATAGGTGGACATCCCATGTTCATGGATAAAAACCCCCCAATACTGTTAAGATGTCAGTTCTTCCTGATTTCATCGATAGATTCAACTTAATCTCAACTGTAAGTCTAAAGTGCTTTTTGGGTGTGTAGAAATTGACAATGTGATTTTCAAATGTATATGGAAATTTGAAGAACCTCAAGTATCCAAAGCCATCTTGAAAAAGAGTTGGAGAATTGATCCTACCTGATTTCAAGACTTACTGTAAAGCTATGGTAATTGAGACAGTGCGGCATCAGTATAGACAAACAGCTCCCTTGGGCCAGAATAAAAAGCTGAGAAATGGACTTGTATTTACATATCGAATCAATTTTGACAAGGATGCCAAAGCAATACAATGGGAAAAGCGAAGTCTCTTCAACAAATAGTGCCAGTATATTGGACATCCTCAATGGATAATAAAAAACAAATCCATGTGCTCTACTTCCTGTTATACACAAAATTCATCTGCGATGGATCATGGACCTAAACATAAAGGCTAAAAGAGTAAAGCTCCTCAGAAAGCACACAAATGAGTACTTATAATCTGAAGGGAAGCAAGGGTCCTTTGATGGATGCTATGGTTTGCGTGTGGTTTGTGATGCACAAGGGCCCACTGTGATGAAAGCCCTGGTCCCTGGGGTGGGACTATTAGAAAAGGTGGTCAAGTCTTTAAGGACAGGCCTTCTGGGCCCTCAGGTCACCAAGAATATTCAGTAGCTTCGCCTGCGACCCATTGATAGTTATTCTCGAAGAGTTGCTGTTGGAGGGGGACTCCTGCCCCTTTCTTTCCTCTCTGTTCCTGTTTCTGCGCCTGCTCCCACGAGTGTCCCACCATTTGCCATACTCCATGAGGTCCTTATCAGAACTAAGCAGATGCAGATTTCATGACCTTGGGCCACACAAGCTGAGTGCTAAATAAAGCTCTTTTTCTTAATAACTATCCTCTGTCAGGTATTTTGTTATAGTGACAAAAAGTAGACCAATACAAGGGACCACAGAAAATAATAACCAAGAAAAGGAAAAGTGTAAATTGAGACTTCACCAAAATTTAAAACTTACTCATCAAAAACCAAAATAAACCAAGCCAAAAGAAACACTACTTAAAGATGAATAGGCCAAAAAAAGAAGAAAAAAAGATGAATAGGCAAATTACAGATTGGAATAGAATACTTGTAAAACATATCTGAAAATGTATGGTTTTTAGGATGTAAAAACGGCTATAATTCAATAATAAAAAGACAAAAATTCAATTAGAAATGGGCCAAGATTTGATCAGTGGAAGATATTCAAAGAGCTTAACAACCTTAGTCATCAAGGAAATTCAAATTAAAAGCACAGTTAGACACCACAACACTCCCAACAGAACAGCTAACATTTTTTAAAGACTAACTGTATTTGGTGAAGATGGGGAACAACCCCAGTGCTCATAACTTATTGGATAAAGAGTGGAATGCCACAGTAACCCTGGAAAGAGCTCTTGTGGTTTCTTATAAAACTCAATATACACTGACCCCACGATTCACAATTCCATCCTTAGATATCTACCCAAGACAACCATGTCCAAAGAAGTTACCTAAGAATGTTCATAGCAGCTTTAGTCACAATATGTCCAAGCTATAAATAGGCCCATGGCCCACCAACAGGAGACAGAACTGGAGAAAATGTGGTGCAGTGGCTACTCAACAATAAGGAATAAAAATGAACTATTGATCTGTAAGATGACTGATATGTATCTTAAAACCATAATGCTGAGTGAAAGAAACGTTGCACAAAATGATACCACTTATATACTGTTCTTATTTGCATTAAAAAACGAACATCAGAGGAATGTAGCTTGGGTGCGGGGAAGCCAGGGCAGTGGGTCAGAGAAAGGGGATTGTCTGGCGTGGGAGTTCCTTGTCTTGCTGGGGTTTGCATCACATGGGTGCTGCACTTGTCAAAACTGACCAGCAAGTCCACTTAAAATCTGTGAGTTTTCATTTGATATAAGCTTTAATTTAAAAAGCAACTGGAAACAATTCAAAGCTTAGTTGACAATCTGCGAGCTGAAGTACTTAAGGGTGAAGGGTCCGGATATTTACGACTTAAGTTGAAATGCATTAAAAATGGGATGGATGGGGGCTGGGGATGTGGCTCAGCAGCTTAAGCGCCTGCCTGGCTAGTGCAAGGTCCTGAGTTGGATCCCTTGTACTGCAAAAAAAAGGATCGATAGAAATGTGAGAGAGCAATTGTCACAGTGTTTACAGCATCTTTAGGGGATGTGCACAGGGGTGTGCACTGGCTCATTCTTTCAGTGTTACTGTAAGTGTGAACATTTTCACGATGACGCATTGGGAGAAAAGGTGAGTTACGTAGTAAACCCTGCATGCGGGGCCCGCAGCAGGACACACCGAAGGTGTTCCGCCACCAGCAGAGAAAAGCCTGTTGTGCAGGAAGGCAGAGACAAGCTGCTTACAGAACAAAGGTCCTGAGTATTACCCAGGGCTACTCACCCTAAGCTGTGATATGCCCCATTTCCAGGGCAGCATGCTGAAAATCCTTAAAAATAGATCCTCACACGCAACCAACACCATTCCTGAAATGCCAGTGCAGGATTGCGAGGTTTAAGTGGAGATTACTGTATTTGACTTTGTTTTTTTTTTTTTTTGGGGGGGGGTCCTGTGTATTTCTGGAAAGAGGAAATCAGGCCAAAGCTTTGTGTATAAGAGTTTATACATGTGAGTAAGGCGGTGTTGCTTCCCCGCCCCACACTGACAGCCCCATGAATTATTCAGTCAGAGACCCTGAGACTGCTAAGAGCAGGCTGCAGTGAGGGAGGCCGTCAGCAGGGGTGAGGAGGAGGTGGAATCAAGCCAGTGTCTTCCACCAGGAGACACTTCATTATGTCATGGCTCACCTTCCAGAATTAAATAAATATTCTCTTTATCTAATAAGGGCAAGTGGGTGGGGGCAAGTGCTTGTGCACGACCAAGCAGGAAGTGACCTCTCCTCCTCCGGTTAAGAACATCAATGCAAACAGCTAAACCTTTAAATCCAAGTAAGGAGACACCGTGCCGGGGGGACTTAGGGCACGGGAGGTCACGTGATACGTGTGACGCTACAAGGGCCATCTCCTTTAACGTGATGCTGGAAGATGCCTATGCACGTGGACAAATAAGAAGGACCTGGGGTAGCTCCTGCTGAGTCTCCAC